TAGAATGCTTCTTCAGTTGTCCTGATATAAAATCTTTGAGAGTCTCTGAGCAAATGCCTACCCAATGTCCTATATCCATAAACATTTTTGTGAGTGACATTTTCACAAAGTTCCACTAGCATTTGAAGACTAATATTACTGTTCTTGGTAGTTCTCAGCTCTCTTTGCCTTCAGAGAGCTGATATTTCCAGCGACAAATCCCAGGTCTAGAATAATACTGCCTCCCAGGATCACATTTATAGGAATTAAAGCCTATCATTATGATTGTGGGCGCACATAATGGAGTGAATATTAGTTGCAACCAAGTGAAATGGTGAAAGTAAATGAATAATGAGATGACTATGAGCCTGGATTTTAATATATCTGTAATATGAAAGTGATTTTTTTTTTGCATGGTGCATGTGTTGGCTGATAAACCAGGTTTGCTGTGAGTGGAGCCCTTCATCATATCTTGCAATGTGTTGCTTAAATTTTAATTTGCATTGTATTCATGCCACACTCTGGTCACTCCTGACTGGATATTGCAGGCAAAATTACAAAATGAGTGGTAAAGAATGCATTGACAGAAACTCTACCAAATAACACATCTCCAAACAATAACTAAGCACAGACTTTGAAAGACTTAAATGTTCAATGTAGCAAGCAACTTGTCTACCGTTCCCAAATATATATATATATATATATATATATATATATATATATATATATATATATATATGAATGTTTGGTGAAGGAACATTGTATATTGTGTACGAGGTCCAAGGTGTAGTTTTATTTTGGCTCAGACATGAGAACTTGTTTGGGATCACCTATATTTGTGAGCATCTCATTTGAAACAAGGCTAAAATAAACCCAACCCCATTAAAAGAATTTCTGGGAATGTTTGAAGCCAGGCTCCATAAAAAGACTGAAAATTATAAACCTCACTGTAATAATAGCACCCAACATCCACTGTGAATTTTTCTTGGATTGTTTTCACATTTAGCCTTTTCAACATTACAGAGATTGTTTTTGTTTCTGTTTTTTGTTTGTTTGTTTTGTTTTGTTTTATTTTGAAGACAGGGCTTCTCTGTGTAGTTTTGGTGCCTGTCCTGGATCTCCCTCTGTAGACCAGGCTAGCCTCGAACTCACAGAGATCCTCCTGGCTCTGCCTTCTGAGTGCTGGAATTAAAGGTGTGCACCACTGCTGTTTTTATCCTCTTTTTCCCAATGAGGAAACTGATTTCACATGAGGCCCATCATCAAAATAACTAGTTAAGTGGTGATGGTAAGACTTAACCAGCAGATGAAATCCATAGTCAACTGTGTTAAACATTCAGCTACCTCTGGTTTCTAAAAATTAAGCTGCTGTGTTTTTGGTTAGAACACAAAAGGCACAGGACCTAGAGCTGTTCTGTATTACACTGCACCGTCCTCTGCAGCCAGGAGAGGGAGTGAGAGACCCGCTGCAGAGTGAGTTCTGCAAGACTTTGACCTTGGCAGTTCTGAGTGTTCTGTTTCTCACAACTTCCCTTACCCTCCCTTACACCTGTTATTGGGGAGTTACATTCTTTTTTATAGATAGAAGATGGAATTTTAGGCACTTCAAAGGAGTCTTATTCACTCTGTCCCAACTCCCTGTAAAAATTTATAAACAGGAACAGATATAAAAATACTTCCATGTGCAACAAAATGTTGAATTTTAAGACACTTGTGGTTTTGTCTTACTAAATAAACCCTCAGACATACCAAATCTAATCTTTAAATCTATCATCATCAGGCTAATCTCTTGAGAAGAGACCTCTATTTGCTTGTAAATAAACACACTAATTTAATTAGCATTCTTTGGAGTGCTAAGCAGAAATAGCAATGCCACAGATATGATGTGGTTAAGTATTAACTTTAATATCATTAGGGAAAAGCATGAGACAAATACACACAGTCAGTCTCTAATTAAAAATAAAATGAGTGAAAACAATATATCCGGTGGGGGTGGTGGTAAGCAACAACTATTTAAGCGTATGAGTCAGGGTCAACAATGTCTTTCATCTTTGACATGTCTCTACTGTGAGAGAAGAAAACAGGTGAAGGGAGTGGAAGCCTTGAAGGGCATCTTGTAACTCTCTCCACGGTGACATTCTGAAGTGTACGTAACTGGGCAATGTCTTTACAATGTAAAACGCATCTTGCAAAAGAAGAGATGTGTTCACCAACTACAAGCGAAACCGCTTTTCATTTAAAGATAGTTAAATCTGTGCAAGAGAAGGAGATCATAAAGTAACAGTGCCAAATTTAGCCCTTGACATTTCAGCGCTGCAAATGAAGCCCCTGGCAAGTTGTCTCTAGCAGCCATTCCGTAATTACACAGCATTAAGCACCGTCTGACTCATGGAAATTGTGGAAAGGATTATATTTAGTCTGCTGAGACTGTACTTTCTTCTCTTCGGACTGAAACAGCTCTTGTATGAAAATAGGATATTATATAGTTTACGTCTTCATCGACGTTTCGGCTTTGTTTTTCACCCCAGACCAGAATCGTGACGGCAAAACCTGCAAGATAAATTTATCAGTGGCTTCAGAATACACTAGTTAAATTTTAAATTATGTGGGTAATAAATCCAATTGTTGTAGTCAGAAATTAATACTAGTGGCTTGAAGTTGGAGGCAGGGAGCTTTCCCTAGGTCAGACATTTTTCCTTCTGTCCTTGTGAGTGAACTGTTCCTTAACTACCAGGCACCCAACAGTGTATTAGCTCCTGTTCATAAAAAATCCAGTCAACTTGAGTATACTGATGTGAAATTATATTTTGATAAATTTTTCTTTATTGCAAAGACTGCAACATAATTATCAGTTGAGTTTTCAGATATCCTGTCTTTTTCCATAAAGTAAGTTGACTAAAGGATGGAAAATTAAAAACATATTAGACCCATAAACAAACCAAGAAATCATATATTCAGGAAAAATCATCTAGAGATGTTATTTAAATGAAAAGACACAGGATTTGCCATGACAGCCAGAATAAGATTCCCATTCTAATTCTCCATGTACCATCAAAGTCTCTAGAAGAATATTCAGTATTTATTTATGACAACTATCCCAAAAAAACTTCTATTCCAGACAAATGGGAAAAACAATAATAATTTCTTAGCATGTACAATACTTTTTTCAAATGCTTACATTATAAAACTTAAAAAGTGAAGGAACAAAAACATATTTTCAATTTTTAAGAACTTACATACAAATAAGTAAATGAACAAAGGAAACGTGCAGCTCATGAGAAAATTTAAATTTATTTCTCAATTTTATTAGCTATGAAAAAGCAGGAGAGAAAACTGGAAAGGAGCAGACTTGGATCCCATTTTGAAACTTGTATCAAAATTCACTTAGGTCTCTACTGGTTCCTACAGATCTGAACTGAGCTATTTTTAATCACACGGGTTTTGTGCTTAGATGACAGAATTCAGATGACCAGTCTTAGCCTGCTGAGCAGAGCCTTACCAGGTTAGTCTCATTTCAGATCAAGGAATCCAACCATCTAATAACTCTTATATCAGAGAGCCTGGACTGGTACCATGTCCTCAATGCTCTAACTTTCCCTGTTTATATAATATTTTAATAAGCATACTAAATACATTTTGCTGGGCTCAGAATTATAAGGAGAGAATTTCTTTCCTTTGACCTTAAGTAACTTATCATGAAGCACAACATCCTAAGGGTTTCAAATATTATTTCTAATGGCCTTTTATGGTAGATTTTAAAAACTCTGTAAGAGAAATTAGTTTTTTTTTTCTTAAAGGTTTATATGGTCTAACTCTGATTTCTCTGCCAGGTAAGAAGGCAGGGAATAGCCAACAATGTTCTCTTGACTGAAAACTGGCTCTGGTTACAGCAGCTTCTTTTCTTAGTTCCAGCCATTGGTATCTGTCCCATCCCCTAAAATAGGGAGATCTTTGATCGTCATAGTCCACATTCCTTCCCGGGGCGTTTCCCTTAGTATTCAACACCATACATTCCCCACATTGCCTTTAATTGCAGTTCTTCTTCTTTTAAGATACTAAAATTTAACATATATCAATTATGTATTTTGTTTAATCGCTCCTATAAAGCAATTCCTTCTAGATGCCAGAAAATTTATCTTTCACCGGTGAACCAAACTTGATGATGACTAGCTGAAAGACAATTCTCAAAGCAAAGGAGTCTGTCACCAGGGCAGTAAAAATTCTTAGTAGCAGGTGTCTTACAGACTGCTATTTACCTAAACTCAACACCAAATGTGAATGGATGAGCTATCGCAATGTGAAATGTGGCCTTTTACTAACTGTGTGAGATAAAGACATAGGATAGGAGAATGAAGATGTCTTTGAAAAGAAATTGAAGATTGACAGATTAGAACTCTGGACCATAAGCACTCATATAAAATCTAAAGGAAAATGCTAGGAAAATAAATATTAAAGAATTTTAAACGAGCATGCCTACTATGTGCTGGGCAGTTGTGGGTGCTGAAGATGCAGAGAATATACATACTTTCTCGGGAATGTAAACTTTTTTAAAAGAACAGATAAAATCTGATGAAATATACTCTAGAGAAAAAACTTATGTTTGAAAGAGGAACTTGGGCCTATAGCCAAACCACCCTGAATGCACTGGAGAGGTTAGTGTATTAGCACTCTAATGGCTTTAACTGAATGAAAATTGATTCCGTATCTAGTAGGGGAGAAACCTGTAGAGCTGTGATAGACGAGACCCTAAGTACGGGGCAAAGTCATTGTTCTAGAGAGAGATGCTGTGCTAAAACACATCCAGGTCCACATCAGAAACAAACGATGGGCTTTCAGCATTGAACTGGGCTTCCCAGCAGATTCCCAGCCTTCTTCTCAAACAAGAAGGCTGACTAGTTTGCAATGGGAACAAGGTGCCAGGTGCACCCTGGGAAGGACATGTTCTTAGAAGAAGAGGAAGAAGAAGGAGGAGGAGGAGGAGGAGGAGGAGGAGGAGGAGGAGGAGGAGGAGGAGGAGGAGGAGGAGGAGGAGGGGAAGAAGAAGAAGAAGAAAAAGAAGAAGAAGAAGAAGAAGAAGAAGAAGAAGAAGAAGAAGAAGAAGAAGAAGAAGAAGAAGAAGAAGAAGAAGAAGAAGAAGAAGAAGAATTATTCTTATGAAGGCTGGAAGAATGTTTAATATGAAAAGAGGAGAGAACAGTGGGTTGCATGCCAGACAGAAAAGACTTAAACCCAACCTTTGAAACACACCAGATGATGAACTCTCAAATTGAGGTCCAAACCAAATGGCTATGTGATCAGATCAAACATTTGCTCAAACAGCTAATGGTGTTCCTATTGTAAGAAGGAGGAGAGGCAAGAGGGAGTATAACCACTCTAACAGTGGACAGACAGAGTTGCATTTCCCATTTACTCTTGAGCACATAACCTAGATCTAAGAGTCTGTAGACTTAGCAATAGTTTATTCTTTCTTGTGTCAATTGATTTGTTTAAGTTTATATTTTGATTTTCAGTAGGTTAAAAAAAATCTAGACTTTGTTTTGTGGACATGATAAAGATACGGAGAAAAACTGGATGGAATAATTTAATAGTTTCTTACCACCCTAAAGCTTCTATTTTAATAGTAACGACAAACCTTTATATGATATCTATGTGGTTAAGAATAGCTTGTTCACAACATAAATTCAAGTTTTGTGCTGACTTTCCAGTTTATTCACAAGCTTTTATGCAAATTGATCAGGTTTCATATGTATGCAAGGCCACATTTTTCTACCTGGAAAAAAGTGAAATGTGAAAATCATCATTATGGGCAATTAGGCAACTTCAATGTAATATTTATAGTTACTAGCTTTGCTAAAGTTATATACTATTCTCAATAATAATAACTAGAAATTTCAATTTTAATGGCACAAATTCATAAATATAATTACATCAAATTTAATGGGACAAATACATAAATACAATTATATCAAATTACATCAAATTCAATGGGACAAATAAAAAATACAATTACAAAATTGAGAAAGAGGAGTAAAAAGTATGTTCTATAAGAACTTTAACTTAGACACCGAAAATCATGAGATTCTGTTACACAATTATTAAAGATTATAAATTTCCAATTTTAATACTCTCCTTCATTTTACTTTTAATGATTCAAAGCATGTTTAATTTCTCTGTTAACTATCATTCCCCAATAACCTTTTAAAATATCAGTTTCTTTATAAAAGCCTGTTTACCCAGGTACTACTAACTTAAAAATTATCATTCTTCATTTGGAGACTCAAGATCCTGTAAGATTTTTTTTCACAACTTGTAAACTTTGGGCTGAAAGTGATATCTATTTTTTAATATTTTTATTGGCACCTAATAATTATTTTTATTAGTACCTAATAAATACTACTATTAACATCTAATAATTACACAGAACAAAGAGTACCATCATGATATTTTCATACAAGCACATAATTATGTATTTTGAAGAAGAGGTATATATTTAGCTATTTATTTCTTCTGGAATAGTAGGAGGGTATGTTCAAAATATCCATCTTCTCAGTGACACACTTCATGATTTTTATGGATAGCTTCCTTAAGGACAGTTGTAGAAGTCACAATTCATCTTACACCTAGTTCATTTCTTTGAGCTACTTGAAATGTGTAGAGAATGAAAACGATTGTGTCTGAACTCCAGCGAACACTCTAAAGTGGTCATCTCCCCAAAGTCATCCCAGCATTCCCTGTTTTCAGAGAAGCTGCTATAAAAGCACATTGCTGGCCAAGTCCCTTAAGCACCTTTAAAATCTCTAAGTACTATTTTGCATTGCATGAGCCTAAATAACTTTAGGTTAGTTTACTCTCAGTCTGCAGACTGAGCCCCAAAGCATTGAACAAGGCAGCTTGGTTTTAGTAAGAACTTAGCAACAACAACAACAAAACCAAAATTGATGTGTCAGTTTTCTTGCTTGCTAAGAATTTCAGAAAATAAAAATACATAAATAGTCTCAATAATAAAGAAAACAGGGAAGGTAGGACATACCCAAATCTAATATCGGAGACGAAAAGAGGCAGGAAGTGGAACCCCAAGCTACTTCTTGCTTAGATTACTCTCCTGAGAATATTGCTTGCAAAAGCATAATCTTTAATGGATACTTGAGACCCTGACCAGATTGCCCTGTGGATGTATCCTGAAGAATCCAAAGAACTGTACAGAGCACACAATGCCTTTTCCAGTCCTCGGAATTTTACCATAAGAGAGGGAGTTTGGGGGAGTGTTCTTTCTGTTTGAAACCTCAACCTAGTTTCATCTAGGAAGTTCCACACTTGCTGACTAGACACTTGCAAGGTCCGTAATTATCCAACAGAAGCCCGAGCCCTGGAGGAATCCTGAGTTGTCCATGAGCGAAGAAGAAACGTCTTAAAGGAAGACAAGGCAGGGAACGTCTCAGAGGCAAAGACCATAAAAGTACTGACAGGCTTCAGTCTCACTAGGGCTGTTCACTTGTAGATCCTGGGTTCCTATAAATAGCCCGAGGGTATGTGTCCCTCTCTCTCTTTGCCCTAAGAAAGCTAAAGAGCTCCTCCAGGAGGAGTGGCAACTGTCCTGTGAAATCCGATGCTAGATATGAAGTCAGGTGGACCAGAAATAAAAGGGAGCCACTGAGAAGGAAGACTCCACTCAGGGATCGGAGCTGCCTTCAGCTTACTCTTCAGCCCCACTGCTGTGTTGCAGCCCAGAACTCCATCATGGTGGGTTCTACAAGAAAACGCTATGTCCTTACGCGAGGATACAGTTGGGCAACAGGAGCTTACTGAGAAGACAGGCAGGCAAGGAATAGAATGAAGGGGAGAACCCGCTTAGTATAAGGATTTGGGAACCTACTACTGGTTCCGATGATCTATGACAAAGAGAGAAGAAATTACTTCCAACTATTGCACCAGACTGGGGGAAAAATGCATCTTCTTCCCCAGAGCAGTCCTTCAGCAGCTTTTGCTATTTCACGTAAGATTCATCTAAATTTAGAAGGAAAAAAATGCAACTATAGTAAAATAGCATGCTTTAAAAATAGAATTCAATGATAACTGATAGCTAAAATTAAGCAAATTGCATCTGATTTCTTCAATTTCATATACCAGTACAAAAATATGTTATTTAAACAGAAGGACCTAATGTGTTTTTTTTAATACCATTTTATTTGCAGTTTTAAATGTATACCTTATCAGATGTATGCTACATATAGACCGCTATGGCATTCTAGAAAGTGTTCAATTTAGCATTTTTAGTATCTTTACATCATTAAGATATTGAGAAAAGATTTCCTAATTATCTTTTGCAGTAGATTTTACACTCCTAGGTTCAAAATTGCCCTCACACACCCTTCCTGTGCTGAGACCCCTACATGGTTTCCTAAAGGTCTCAGAGCAGAGAGCACTCACTCTGTCAATGCATTTGAAAGTTCTTTCTTTCTCTCTCTCTCTCTTGCCATGCAGTCCTTCAGTGCTGACCAGATTGCCGGTAAGTGATCTGAGCTTCTCTACCGAAGGCAGAACTCCGCCTGTCTCGAAATGTCACTTAACTCCACAGCATGCTCCTTTGTGGCTCAGACTGTTCATGTCCATGCCATGCCTGAGCTCAGAAAACTGGGCTGACTTCTGGAGCTCACTTTGAAGAGCACTCAGGGAATGAGCTGGACGCACTTATAAATCAGGACGCTCTTTTCTGGTTAAAACATATTTTATGATTAATTTCTTTCTAACAGATCGAGTTCTCTAAGGAGCAGCAGGATGGTAAGTTAAAAGCTGTAGCCGTTCATATGTGCAGACTCATAGAGATGGCGAGTGAGAAAACCAACTCCCTTGGGATGAGCTAAGTGCTGCCTAATTATCCACACTGGTGGTGTTCCTCTAAATATAAATTGCTTTCACTCACTCTAAATATAAACCTGTATAACTGAAGCCCTTGCTTATAGTTAGTGATCAAAGATCTAAGGAAATAAAAAATAGAATATAAGCCTATATAGCCACTGATTTCTAAATAAGATGAACTTGATACATAGGAAAGATTATATATGACATAGTCACAAAGGATATAGGTTTTAGAAAACTAATTTACTAAGCAAAACCCTAGAGAGAGATTTGGTAGGTCTGAAGTGTTCAATAAAAGCTGCCCAGCTGGGCGGTGGTGGCGCACGCCTTTAATCCCAGCACTCGGGAGGCAGAGCCAGGCGGATCTCTGTGAGTTCGAGGCCAGCCTGGTCTCCAAAGCGAGTTCCAGGAAAGGCGCAAAGCTACACAGAGAAACCCTGTCTCGAAAAACCAAAAAAAAAAAAAAAAAAAAAAGCTGCCCTGATGGTCAAACCTGCCTAGTTTCTGTGGAAACATGGAATTGTGGATTAGAAGTGAATTCACAGACAGAGAAGGATCCTAGTCCAGCACTTCGTTAAGGGATATGAGACACACAACTGGAGAGATGATACATCTTTCTTCCTCGATGACCAAAGAATTAGGAAGAGTATCATGATCTTGGGTGAATTCAAACGGACTGGAGAGTTTTCTCATGAACAGATACTATCAATGAGTCTCAAACATCTTTTAAAACTGAAGAGACCCTGGATAGCGTCCCTAAAACTTTTAATTTTTTTCCCTTTGTGCCTTTGGATTCAAAAGGGCCCAATCTCCCAAACAAGCTCCATTTTGGGGTTAGGAAGTATAGGGAGAAAATTTTAATGGGGTGAAATCATCACAGTACATGGACAAACTAAATCAAGTTCATTTGTAGAAAAGAGAAACAGAAACAGGTTAGTTTTGTGATGTTATACATTAGGTGATTGGCCATAATAATGTATAGTAAATTGCAATATATAAGATAGAAGTAATTATTGGTGGTTAGTAACTGTTCTCTACCTAAAGCCTTCCGTATTGTTCAGTCTCTTTCAGGATCATGTTTGTTATGATGTTGTCTGGGTATCAGTTTAAAACAAAAGGTTATTTGCTGTAGTACAAACTCACTGATATCAATATCATGGTTATTGGCCTCATGTAGACAGTTTAGATGATTGGATAACTTTTAATTCAAGATCATTTAAAGTTATACTATGAAGGATTTGTCTTAAAGGAAATAATGATTCTAATTTGTTTAAATATACTTTTAACGGGTGAGGCAGCTACATCATTAACCCTGGCCTCCCAGTCCTCTACAATTCCTGACTTACAGTATCACCATGGCTGCTAAACTATCACTGAACCGAACAATGAAAGATTCAAAAACTCTTGCTGAGACAAATGTACTTATTGTTGAGTGTGAGACCCATCATCCAGTATTGAAAACAGGTTTTAGCCACAGAATTGAATAAACATGGATACATTGGCCTGGGTCCTTTTTTCTTTGTGTCAGAAAAACAGATGTAAACTATTTAAACTAAGTGGGAATTCTGTGCCTTCAGAATAAATCAAAACCACTTGAATTTGTGTCCTTGCTTAATGAATGAAGAATGTTGTTCATACCATTCTATTTGGATTGAAGGGAAGGCAAGAAAAGTAAAGAAAACTACAGCATTTTGAAGGTTTAGGACTCAGGCTGTTTGTTAGCATGACCACCAGCTACATATGGTTACTGAAGCATTAATTAATTTTAAAATTATCAATGTTAAAGTCTGTATCTTCACGCTCACCAGCCACATTTAAGTGTTCAAACCACCATTAAAGGGCAGGCAGAGAATAATTTCATCACCAGGTATTTTGGAAATGGTGTGGTTCTGGGCAAGAGGTCAGCTGATACATTGTTAAAGGATAAATAGGAAAACCTGTTAGACTTTGTCTGCACTGTTGTTGTCTGTGAAGACAACTCCACTCTGTTCTTGAGGTTCAGCAAAAACCACAAACAATACATAAACAAAGGGGCATGGTGAGATTATAATAAAATGCGGTCACTAGAGCCAGTCAAGGAAGGAGGTCTCCAGTCTGTTCTGGAACCAGGAAGAGAAGAACTAAACCTTGGGCTAAAAGTCCAGGATTAAAAGAATTAGTTCTCTGGCCTCTGCCTTTAAGTTAGCAAAGGATAATGTCAGAGTGATTCCATTACAGTCATAAAAGTCCCATTTCTACAGCAGCATCTGAGCCGGGTGACTGCAAGCCCTCAGAGCACTGTGCCCGGTGTCTGCAGCCAGTCGCGAGAGGAGTCCAGTTCCACGTGACCTTTAGAAAGATAAAAAATAGTATGTGACTCATGAAACCACAAGGCATAGTATTTTTTTTTTCCAGGTTGGGGCAGATTATGGTGAGATTGCATAGGATTTAAATAAGAATGGTAGCATGACCTATAGCTAATTGTGTACACGGCACCCAGTGTAATCTTTGATTAAAAGGCACTGGGATATCATAAAATTTGTGTTCCAAAAGAAGATGTTTCTACAAACTTAAGAAGTTTGAGTTAAACTCACATAAAATAGCCCCAGCTGGAAATTTGCTTTCTTGAAATTTTACTAACATTTGCCAATTAATTGAAGGACTATTTGGAGACTCTTAAGCTTTCTCAAGGCATCAGAGTATTTTAAGTGGCTCTTGCTTCCCACACAGATGAAAGAAATATGAATCACTATCACTGGGAGCTCCAATTTCCATAATTAAAATTAATTCCACATTAGTCATAACGTGGGTTAAAACTAGAAATGCTGCTTTAAAGTAATTCCCCACAGAAACACCAAAAGGGTTGGCCAGTGATTGTTTAATAGGCGGAGATAGCTTCAGTGGTTGGAAGAAATTATAGAAACAGAGAAGAGTTTGAACTGAACCCTTGAAGGACCTGGGGTTAATTAGAAGGTTTCAGAAAATAAAAAGCCAGTACCCACCAGGGCCTGAACGTATTGTGCTTCTTGCAGAATTCAAGGAGGCGTTTCTCCTGTTTGACAGAACAGGAGAAAGCAAGATCACCTTAAGTCAAGTGGGAGATGTCCTCCGGGCTCTGGGCACAAACCCCACCAATGCAGAGGTCAAGAAGGTTCTGGGGAACCCGAGCAATGAAGGTAGGTTTCTCAAAGATCAGTGAAAATTGGGAAGAGGCTCCCACACAATAGACTCAGTTTGCTCCTGAGGGTGGTAGCCATGCCTCTCATCCCTGGGAAGCCTCAGCTTTTGTAAATAAAAAAAGGAGCTACCTTTCATTGAGGACCTGTAAGTGTGATAAAACAGCACACTAGAGGAGAGAAATGGGATGGAATGATGAGACCATTGTGCTTAGCATCATATCTAATCCAGGGCTAATGAGGTAAGGCACAGATGAGCACAATCCCTTTTCCAGAGTCCATACCTTCAAAGGCAAAAGTACATTTTAAAAAGTAGTTTGACTTTAACTACAATTTAATTGCATCATCTCCCTCCTTTCCTCGTGGAGCCAGTATACTGAGTGAGCTTTCCTCCGTCCCCTCCCAAGCCCCTTCCTTCCAACCCTCCCCATGCTTCCCCTCACTCCCTCTCACATTCACAGACTCTCTTCCTTTTACTGTTATCTTTAGATAGGTGTATAAATATACAAACACATACATACAACCCTTTGGGTCTGTTTAGTGTTGCTTGTATGGTATCAGGGCCGACCACTTGGTTTGGAGTAATTAGGGTGCTCATCCCTGGGAAAGGTGAAATCTCCCTTTCTCAGCTTTCCTCAGTCACCTGTAGTTCTTTGTTTAGAAGTGGGGTCCCCTAAGATTCCCCGCATCCATGTTGTCATGTCTATTCTTGCCCTTCTTCAGGTTTTGTTCAGGCAGCCATACTGTTGAGGTTATAGGTGCATCTTCCCCGTGTCTTTCCTAGGAGATACAATCTCATGGCAGACTTCCCGATCCTTGGCTCAGAAAACAAAATTTTAACAAAGATGTTGAATATAGCTAAAATGTAATACACTTTGTACAAAGCCAGGGATAATCATAATGACATCCTTCTAGAGAACACCTATTTTTTGATAAACAGCCATGAAAATAAAGTTGCAGTGTTCTGAAGCCACTGAGACACATCTACTGACCTTACCCAATGTACTTTGGCAATGTACAGTGACCGCTTTAAAGAAACTCAGTTATCTTAATTAAATAGGCAGGGTAACATCTTAATGAGTATTTTCTATTTACAATTATTTATATATATATATATATATATATATATATATATATATATATATATATATATATATATGCCTTGACAATCTTAAAACAAAACCTGCTTTCTGTCTCCCCAGGTAAGTCCTGGAACAAGAATCAGTGAGGTACATAAGGGGAAATTACAGAAGTCACTCACTCCATATGGAAATCCAGTCATGAGTCCAGAACAAGGAAATTGCTTTTAATCCCAGTGGCTCATGGCAAAGTACAACAACCTATTAGAAAATGTGACTCTAAACAAAAAAGACAAGACACAAAATGGAAGGTTTCTCAAGTAGAAATGTGGGCTGTTTGTCTTTGCCTTAAGGGGGAGAAGAATGAGGGGTAGGAAATTGATCCTGTGTTTCTCCTGATGACTAAAAATGCACTGGTGGGTTTTTCTTCACTAAGAAAAAGAGAGAGAGAGAGAGAGAGAGAGAGACAGACATAGATTTCAAGGAAACTTACCTCTACATAAGATAACCTGTCTTCCCTGAAAACATGACCAATGGGCAGGAGTGTGAGAAAGCCGACTAAGCCTTATTATCACATGGCAATGTCTCACTTAGAAGTGTCCCTCTTTAACAGAATTATTAGGTAAGTCCTCATTTACTCAACACCCAAATGTGATCTTTCTAATATTGCCCAGTGTGTCAGATTTTCTTCTGTAAAAGAAGAGGGAAATTTTTATTTGGGGATTATATAATGTCATCTATATACATATATAGAGAGATATGTATAGATGAAATTATATATGTGTGTATGTATACACACACACACATATGTAGGGGTAGTTTATTTTACACCTTTTTGTGAATAAGTTTATCTCATCAGAGATTTTGAAGAACGTCCTAGCATCTCTGGTCTGGAATTAGAAAGGAGTCAGGATGTCACACACTATTTGACACACACTCTTTCCTTGTGAGCCTCTTTTTAAAATTACTTCGAATTTAAAGAAATTGAAGACTCCACAAAGACTCAGGCATAGGGGCCATATTTAGTCAAAATTCAGTGACATTTCACTGTGTTTATGTTATTATGGAAATTTTTATATTGTTTCCCTGGTACTTACGGAATATAGTAAATCATAGTACTAATAAAATGTATTAAGTAATCAATTTGTCCCAAACATTTTAACAAGCTTTTCATGCACTGGGTTCATTAAAATCTCACAATAACGCTGTAGAGTACTTCTATTTTAAAACTGAGAATGTGGTGCACAAAGAGGTTGGAAGAGTTGAGTCAGTAACTCTAGTTCCAAGGGGTCCAACACCCTCCTCACCTTCTACAGGCACCAGCAAACGTGTGGCGCACATACATACATTCAGGCCCACATACATATGTGTAAAATAATTTAAAGAGAGGAAAGTCAAACCACATTGGGGGACGGGGCATACCTTTAATCTCGGCATTTTCAAAACGGAGATAGAAGGCTCAGGAGTTCGACATCATCCTCCATGGCAAGTTGGAGGCCACACAGGAATGAGTAAGATCCTGTCTTTAAAAACTAACAATGAATAAAAATAAAGTGGTTAGCAAAGTTGCTCACTGCTGCGTAGTTAGATTGAGCTGGGGATAAAGCTTAGCACTGGGACCACAGAAACTCATACTATTGTCTGTTACTCTATTTTTTTGTCAGTTTAGTAGTTTATCGACTGAAATTTAAGTTGTGTGAAGATTTTTATGAACATTTGTATTTGGTTTGTGACTCAGGGGTGGTATCTTACGGTGACTACTAACTCTGTAAATGGCAAATTTCTTCCAGAGATGAATGCTAAGAAAATTGAGTTTGAACAATTTCTGCCCATGATGCAAGCAATCTCCAACAACAAGGACCAGGGAGGCTATGAAGATTTTGTTGAGGGTCTGCGTGTCTTTGACAAGGAGGGCAATGGCACCGTGATGGGTGCTGAACTCCGCCATGTCCTTGCCACTCTGGGTAAGGGCATGCGTTTCCATGGGCTTCACAGGGTAGTTATACACAGGGAAGACCATGGCAGGAAAGCCATGTCATAATCAAAATAGTCAGGGGAAAGACTCCAAAAGAAAAATAAAAAAATAGTAGTTGAAAGTCTATGACTTCTTCTGTTGGCCTCTGGGACAGTGAGTCTGTTTGGGGGTGAAGCAAGAACACAGAGTATTGGACATGAATAAGTAAAACATTGTGCTTCCCCCAGGTTATAGATAGGGCATGAGGGATAATGATTATTTCATCCATCCATCCAAAATCAGCTTAAGGGGAGAGAAATAAGAAGAGACAAGCATTCATCCTCCAAGAGTTCACTCATGGTTTCAAGAGTCCATGGCTGCTGATTCCTTATAGTGGGAATCTGAAAATATTCTGTCATCCTATTTCTAAAACTAGGAGTGTTTTGTTTCACCAGGTGAGAAGATGAAGGAGGAAGAAGTGGAAACATTGCTGGCAGGCCAGGAAGACTCCAACGGCTGCATCAACTATGAAGGTACAGCCAGCCTACACCTTCCGCTTTAGCAGCTCTTACCTCATTGAAGACAGATTTCTTTCTTTTTTGTTTTCATTTCTTTCTTTCAATTTTTGTTTGTTTATTTGTTTTGGTTTTGTCTTTTTTTAGGTTTGTTTGGGGTTTTTTTTCTTTTCTTTTCTTTTCTTTTGTTTCATGACAGGGTTTCTCTGTGTAGCCTTGGCTGTCATGGAACTTGCTCTGTAGACCAGGCTGGCCTCAAATTCACAGAGATCCTCCTTCTTCTGCCTTCCAAGTACTGGGATTAAGGGCATGCACCATCACTGCCCAGTGATAGTTCCTTTTCAATGTTAACTTATTTTCCTTTTCTTTATTGATGCATTTTATTTATTATAAGTAAATGGCCTAATTCTGAGATATTTATATGAGGACCCAAACAGATATGCAGAATTAATTCCAATGTTTTTTGGAAATCCCATGCAGTCTTACAGTTTAACCTGTGTTTCCTTATGTTTCCTCTTAACTTTTCCATGATATCCCTGAAGGATAGACAGTTCTTAAACTAGAATTACGTATAATGCAATACCAGAGTTGAATAGATTTTGAAGTCATTTACTAGCACAAGAACCACGAAAATCAAGAAACTGGATGTCAAAGAGATGTCAAATCATTTACAGCAAGGCTGGTCCTGAAATTTAGTTCTCTTTGTCCAGTAGTCTTGTTTACATGAAAATCATTTAATAGCTTCATATGGTAGCATACATTTGTAATTCTAGGAAGCTGAAGAAAGAGGAGCCAGGCCTGGGATATAGAGTGAGACCCTGCTGGAAGGAGGAAAAGAGGGAGGAACGGATGGATAGACACACATACACAAAGGGGGGATGGGCAGAGACACACACAGAAGTGGGGGAAAGAGAGAGGAGAATATCACTCCATAGTAGCCAGCTGTTTATTTTCAGCTGCCAGGACAACAATGTCACACAAAGGGTATGAAAGCAATACATACTCAAAGTAAATATTGAAAATAAAGCTGTGTAATATTATTTGAAATTTACAATATCCCCAATATACTTTATCTCTCCAAAGACCAGCCGCATTTCAATAAATCTATATTAATAGCTTTGATGAAAATATAAATTTACCATGTTCCAAATTTAGAAAAAGCATAAGAAAAAATAAACAAAAAAGAGGACAGGAAAGGAGGAGGAGAAAGGAAGAGAAGAAAATAAAGACATCCAGCCATGTCAATCAGTCTTCGCTAGAACATACCTTTTACCCATAAATAATTCCTATTTGGTTGTTATAAGTACATTATGTAGAATAACCTCTAATAATATTATTGAGATAAATAGATAGTCATCTATAAAATAAAGTCAAATCTCAACTTCTTTTTAATCCAGTTTGACTTTTCTAACTCTTAACTATATATATTGTCCAACAGCTTTTGTCAAGCACATCATGTCTGTGTAAATGGAGTCTTCAAGGTATACACCTACCCTCTCTTTAATATTAAGGCTTGGGTGATATTTTGTTTAAAGAAATAACAGCTTCACTGCATATGCTTTAGATATAATTAGTATTGCCTCTTAATTGCAAGTTGTTTATATTAACCAGAATATGCCATCCTCTTGATACAATAGATGCAACATGTTCATATGAGTGTACAAGCAAAGCTCCTTTGCCTCTGTCTATAAACCCTGCCTTTTAAACTATACTACAATTAGACAGTAGAAATTCCACTAACCAGAGACTAGTTAATTTAGTTGGCATGTAACACTACTGAAAAAACTAAGTTCTTTGAATAACAACAATAGCTTTTAACAAATATTGCTCTAACAAACTACATTTTAGTAGCTGAGATTCAAGTGCCAGCAACCAGGTTCTTAAAGCAAAGATGTGACTTGCCTTGAGAGTTCTTGCTCATGGTTTCCATCAGAGTGCTCTTTCCAAAGAGATGCTATCAACATCTAACTTGTTTCTATTTCCCCTACAGAACACAGTGTTTGGGAAGACTGGCCAGAATGTCAGTTCAAGAAGACCCATGGCTAACAGTCCATATCTTCTTACCACTACCCAGAAGATCAAAGCAATCTAGACCATTCTAGACTGAAGGATTCCCTCAATTTTTATAAGCCTTGAGTTTTTCATTACACACAAATCAGGCATCCACTGTTCTAGGGGAGATGAATAAATATTGATGATATCAAGTCCAAGCATCCCTTTATCATCTACTTGGGTCCACAACATTCTTAAAACACTACATCAATAAACTTGGTCAGTCTGGAATACTCAAGTTGTGTTGTGTCTTACTTTTTTGCTTTATGAAAATAGTTTTTAAGAATTCAATTCTTATGGTAAATTATAAAAAAAATTGATGAATTACAAATTTACTTTAAAAATATCACTATAGGGCCTGATGAGACAGCTTTGTGGGTAAAGGCAAGTGCCAGCAAGCTTGAAGACCTTCATTTTATCCCTGGAATGCACATGGTGGAAGAGAACAGATTCCCACACTTGTCCTCAGGTCACCGAATGCATGCCATGCCATGCCCTGCTCCCCACACATACACACAAATAAAAATAATCAGGTGAATAAATAATAAATTCAAAAAAGAAAAAAGTCATTGCAATCTACAGCAATAACAGATTGAATAATAAAGTTATATATTATTTTAAAAGTTAATAGAGAACGAGGAAATTCAGACAGGAGCTGGGGCATTTTAACAGACTATTTGGGCAATTTAAGGTAAAATTGGGTCCTTCAAATGTATGTTAATCATTATTTATGGCTTGATCTACTTCCTTTGTAGTAACAATCGGCCTATTAGGGAACTGTAGAAGACTTTGACTTTTCTCTCTGATGACTTCAAAAATAAAATTCAATGTGACCTTTTAGCTGTTGCTTTTAAAAAAAAAAAAAAAGCCTCCCGAGATGAAGAGCTCATTGCTCATCTCAGGATTCTGTTTATTGTTATGCCTCCCCCACTATGACCTGCTCTGCTTTCTGTGCACATGTGCCCACATCTCAGCTTAGCCCTTTACTATACATCAAAGAAGCACAAGACCTAAATGGAAAAGTTTACAGAATAAGCTTTATCACCTCCGTGTATCACATGTACCTTTCCTCAGCAGACCCCGGAAGGAGGGAGTGTTCGTGCTGTGTAGATGTCCCCACATCCCTGAAAAGATAACCATCACAAGGAGGATTACAAATTCTCCCAGAAGCACTGGCCTAGGTATACCTCTTGGGAGGGGATGTTGACAACTTCAGGTCAACAAACTCCTTCTGTCTGGTAAAAGCCACTTGTATTCTAGTCACTAACTTGTGCTTTTGTGGCTAAGTTGGGATGATGCAACCACATGTTTAAGGAAAGTGAACTATGACCCTGTGACCTTTAAGCTAAGTTTACCTAAAACCAAGAATTGGAAACATCACAGAGTGCATATCTCGGAGAACTGAAGGCTGCATCTGTACTTTCCTTTATGGGGACCACACACCAGTGCCACTGAGAATGTGAAATGTGCCTAGTGAGATGAGTTAATTGAATTTTTAATTATGCTTCATTTTAACTTATTCAAGATTTTAATTTAATGGCTACATGTGGCTCATGACTACCATATTGAAAAGCGAGGCTCTCAATACACATTTACTTTTAATTATTACATGAGACAATTGAAATAGTTTTTTTTAATTCAAAAGGTCCACATATGGAATTGTCATTTTTTTTAATTGTGTGGTAGGGCATGGATTTAATCCCAGCACTTGGGAGGCAGAAGCAGGTGGAACTCTGAGTTCGAGGCCCACTTGGTCTATATATAGTGAGTTCCAGGACAGCCAAGGCTACACAAAGAAACCATCTCTCAAAAAACCAAAAACCTAAAAAATGTTTTCAAAAGTATAAAGGTCACCGTGTGGAGAAAACGGCGACTACATGTAGTCTCATCATAAAGGGCTCATTTTTCTTTTACAATCTGTGGCTCCGTTCTCATCACGTCCATTTCTTTAAAAACCTTTTTCAGCCAGAAAAGCATGGTGTCTGAGTGGTACTAAATTGTTACTTTCAAGCTTTATGTATAATGCTTTCCTCTCAAGATTTTATGAAACTCTTTTAACCCTCCCCACGGGACAGCTTCAACACACTGTCATGGGACCTAACCTTATTAAATTACCATGTGTGAAACGCCCATAGCTCAAGTAGCAGCAGGTGCAAAATGAAGTCGCAGGCCGAAGAGTGGTAGCCATTTTTAACACTCCCAACAGCTGGCGAAACAACAGGTGCCTGAATTCCTCAGCCTTTAAAAATAACTTTTAAAAAGCCTGTGCTGCATAAGCAAATATTTTCAAGTTTGTTTTTAAACCGTCTTCGAGTTACCTTGCCCCACGAAATACATTATACATCGATTTTTTTTGTCTCAAAATTACATTTGAAATCTAAGCACATAAGAATGTATTTCTCTTTAGCAATGAAATAAATAACTATTATTTAACTGGAAAATTAAGTTACATTTTTAAAACTTCTAGGTAATATTTTTCAAGAAATATCACATAGTAAAGGGACTGTAATATACCTTCCCTAACTTGTCATCTTATGGCAGCCTTTCGTAGCAATGGTAATATTCTTTTTCAGTGATGACAAATATAACTTGCAACTTAGCAGAATGAAGAAAGAATATCTTCCCTCAATGCCATGGTTTTCAGAAAATCATGAATCTACAGATCTCCTCAGCACAGCAATGTCTATAATCCCCAAAGAAAGGAGATTAAACAGTAAATATCAATTTGAAGTCCAGACTAATGACCTAAACATTCTACAATCACCAAGGCACGAAAGTCTTGGGGTGGGAAGGTGAATAAGTAATTTAGGCAAAGATTTCAATTTTACAGTTTGGTAAGCAATAAGTGGGTGAGTCCCAGGCTAAGAAAAAGTCATGGCATGGGGAACAGTGATGCGTTACAAGACCTGCTGGCAAGCCTTCCACAAGCTTCATAAAAGATAGGTATTCTCAACCAGCATTAGTATTTGGTGGGAAAAAATCCTACCTAACTTTTCCTCTCCTAACAGTATCCTAACAGACTTTACCTCCTAACAGTGTGACTGACCAGAGACACCACAGCCATGCAAAACAGAGGCAGTGCCCCTCCTAGATCAGGCCAAATGTGGCCCATGCCTTGAACTCCAGCTTTAGAGCACCCCACTCCAGCCTCACTTCTCACTGACAACCCCCCTCCCTCCGGATCCAAGCAGTATACTCTGGAATACAGCATGCCACTCTATCCTAGGCCACTCAAGGTACGCAGGAGCCCAAATTTCCCTCCCTAATGGTGTCAAGCCTCCTCCAAGGACAAGAGTGGGCATCTTCCTAGGTCCACCCTCCTAAGGGACGACCTGCAGTGATGAGTATAACCATGAGACGAAGAGACTGTTAATGCCTACTAGCATTGTTTGCTCACCTGAGTCTTATTCACCCAGGCAACTCCTGCCAGTCCAGGGTGGTGCTGAAGGAAAGAACTGAAGATGAGCAAGCTCTGTGTTATGTGGCAGATCACCAAGAAGTCAAAAATTCCACCTTGGCTTTCTCGGTAATTATGACACCATATTTTTCAGAAGAAAACAAAAACCTATGCCACAGCTTGTTAGTTTGATCCATAAGCAAGCATTTAAATTTATTCTAACTAAATCTCTCTCTGTGCTCTTGTCTGTAAGATTTGAAGGTGGACTTTCTGAATATAAAGCTTAGACTTTTCAGAGACCAGTCTTAATGTTGCTCAGAAATAGAGGCCCACTTCATTTAAACAATTAAGAAAATAATTGTTGAGTAATACTCCATTGTGTATATGTAGCACATTTTTCTTTATCCATTCTTCGGTTGAGGGGCATCTAGGTTGTTTCCAGATTCTATAACGAATAATGCTGCTATGAACATAGTTGAGCAAATTGTCCTTGTGGTATGATTGAGCATCCCTTGGATATATGGCCAAGAGTGATATCCTTGGGTCTTGAAGTAGATTGATTTCAAATTTTCTGAGAAGTTCCATACTGATTTCCAAAGTGGCTGTGTAAGTTTGCACTCCCACCAACAGCGGAGGAGTGTTTCCCTTGCTCCACATCCTCTCCAATATAAGCTGCCATCAGTGTTTTTGATCTTAGCCATTCAGGTGTAAGATGGTATCTCAGAGTTATTCTGATTTGCATTTCCCTGATGACTAAGGATATTGAGCAATTCCTTAAATTTCTTTCAGCCAATTGAGATTCTTCTTTGATAATTTTCTGTTTAGCTCTGTAGCCCATTTTTTTTTATTGAATTGTTTGGTATTTTGATGGCTAGTTTCTTGAGTTGTTTATGTATTTTGGAGATCAGCTCTCTGTTAGATGTGGGGCTGGTGAAGATCTTTTCCCATTCTGAAGGCTGTCTTTTTGCCTTATTTATCATGTTCTTCACCTTACAGAAGCTTCTCAGCTTCAGGAGGTCCCATTTATTAATTATTGCTCTCAGTGTCTTGCCACTGGTGTTATATTTAGGAAGTGATTTCCTGTGTCAATGAGTTCTAAGCTACTTCCTCCTTATTCTTCTATCAGGTTCCATTAGCTGGATTTATGTTGAAGTCTTTGATCCACTTGGACTTGAGTTTTGTGCATGGTGATAGATATGGATCTATTTGCAATCTTCTACATGTTGATACCCAGTTATGCCAGTATTACTCAGCTGTAAAAAACAATGACATCATGAAATTTGCAAGCAAATGGATGGAACTAGAAAATATCCTGAGTGAGGTAACCCAGACTCAGAAAGACAAACATGATATCACTCGTAAGTGGATACTAGATGTAAATAGCCAGACTACAACCCACAGCTCCAGAGAAGCTAGGAAATAAGGAGAACTCTAAGAGGGACACATGGATCACCCTGAGAAGAAGAAATAGATGAGATCTCCATGAGTAAACTGGGGATGGGTGGGAACAATAGAGGGGAGGGAATGGGGGATGAGAACATGAGGGAACTGGATGGTCAAGATGGGGGAGGGACGAAGTAGGAGAGCAGTGAAAGAGATACCTTGATAGAGAGAGACATTATGGGATAAGGGAGAAACCTGGAGCTAGGGAAATTCGCAGGAACCCACAAGGATGACTTCGGATTAGACTACTTGTAGTAGCAGAAAGGGTGCCTAAACTGGCCTTCCTCTGTAATCAGATTGGCAAATACCCTAACTGTCATCATAGAGCCTTCATCCAGTAACTGATGTAAACAGATGCAGAGATCCACAGCTAAGCACCAGGCTGAGCTCTGGTAGTC